CAAGCACTGTGAAGCAGACACCTTGACGTGGTTGCCGGGCCAGGACGGAGCTCAGTGTTGTGTACGACGAGGGTCGGAGTGCAACGACAATCAGAATGACAATGGAAACGAAAGAGGGCCCGAAAGCAAGGGTTTATTCATCCAGAACTTTGACACAGACCTGAAAACGGAAGAAGGTGATTTAGCAATAAATGATGGAACGTTTGTAAAACAGAGTAAATATGCTAACTGATATACTTGATCCACGTGGTGCTGTGGTCAGTTCAGCCATCGGTACTCTACTGTCACTGTCGTTGTTGCTGTTGAATGTATTAGTGGTGTTAGAACCCTGTCAGCACCGCTTTGAAAGAAGAGTGTTCATCTGCCACACAATTTGGTTTGGACTGTGTTTTATCTCTTCCCACCCATGATATATTTCGCGTATCGCGAGTTTGACTTGCCGAAAAATCTTTTCAGTGACTGTCGACTCGTGTCATGATTTACTGCTATCTGGGCTGTTCACCTTTTTTCACCCAGCTCCTTTGAAAATGAAGGACAGTGACCTGGACAAAGTAGCACGTGATCCGAAGTTTGCACCTGGCAAGCGCAAACCTGTTAAGCGATCCAGAACTGCTAGACAGCTTTTCGAAGATGTTGAACAAGAAGCCAGTTTCAAGGACAAGCGCGGTCGGCCGTGGTTGAAAAATCCTCGGGCGTACGTACGGGCCAAGTTTGCCCGCAAGCAATCTCATGAAGAGGAATCTCTTCCGGAGAAAGCGCCTCAGTTAGACATATCAAGAGGGAAATCATCGTCTTTGGAGGCCAGTTTACAAGATTCCTCTACTACCTCTAGTTCGGATGAAGATGCTGATCCATTCGAAGTGATCGCTGACCTACGCGGTAAGTGTATCACATAAATCCGAACAGAAAAATCAATTTTGACACCCATTTGTTTCCTTGTTTCATCATCATCATCATCATCATCATCATCATCATCGACGGCATGACATTAGTGTTCAAGACCGATGCTTCACTGCCGTAGTTTGCCCTGTGTTTAGTCCCAACCTGAACTTTGTTTTAGTTTTTTTTACGAATTCCGCCATTTATGACGTGTTACGATTTAGCGCTAATTGAAAGTACCTATTGATTTGTGTTTTCGTAAGTAGGCGAGATGGTGAAGTGGCTCAGTGTTTAGGGCGCGAATTTACTGACCGGAAGGTTCGTGACTCTAACCCAACCCCGGCATCTCGAATGCTCCCATTTAGGCTTGGGCGACTTGGCAACCCTTCGGCCCTAGTGCTTCCTTCGGGTGGTATGGCAGCTAGACACCGGAAGGGTGCTACCATATGTGATCATATTCCCTCGCAATCCAGTGAGCTCGATTAGTCGGATTTCAGAGTGAATTTTAGCGGAACTGCGTCAGTTAGGAGTATTTTGATCTCATGTCCCTGTCAGTTTTGTTTGAATAGGGCCGTGCTTTACTTCAACAACGTGGCCAGTCATACGCTTTAGGAGGGATTAGGCTATAGTTCCTGGTGAGCGCTTGCGTCCAGACAGATCAACTCCTTTCGTTCTCAAGCTAAGAGCTTTAGCTATCATGCGTGCCATATTGGTATCGTTTCAATACAACATATTGTCGTATATTGTCGTCCAGCTATTCAGGAGATCCAAGTAACATTACCATAATTTTACGGGTGATAGAAGGACTAATACTGGATCCTTCATCATGCTTCGGCCCAACCAACTGTATGTAGATATATTGGTGAAAGATGGCTAATGTTGCCGTGAGAAAGATCCAGTTTTAGGTTTTCTTGACGATCATGGTGGTTACATTTTACAGGTCATTGAGTGGGTCAATTGAACGCATCCAAAAACGTTCGATATGTTCAGTTCTGGAATCTAGGGAGATGGCAACTTTCACGCTTCACCCTCATATCATGAACCGAATGTCTTATCACCCTTTGAACACTGATAATTATTGGTCGAATAACGCTGTGCGAGAGAGCCGAATTTACTGGCTAATAGGATACGGCTAGCTTGCCGCCGTTAATAGTACGTTAATGGTATCAATCCGACGTCCCCAATAGGTCCTGGCAACTCTTCTGAAATAATCATGTCTTCCTACGCTTTCCATCGCCAGTCTTTATTTTCCCGACCTATGGAATGTATGGAGTGTACGTAGATCTATATACTTTACCCCTTCTGACACTAATAAAAAGGTAATCGTTTAGCTGTAGCACACTTCCGGTGCCCAGCTGCCATGCCACCCGAAGGGAGCACGGGGGCTGGGATACTGTCAGGTTGCTAAAGCCAAGATAGAAGAAGTCGGGATGCATAGGTCGGATTCGAATTACGGACCTGCCGGTCAGTAAATTCGCGCTCTAACCACTAAGCCGTCTACCCTCCCTCACTATCATTAGTGTTATTACGGAGCACCACGTTTGTGAACAACACTGTTGTCTTGGGAGACCGCTTGATAACTAATAATTGGACTGGTCTGTGCAACCCAGTTGTTTGGAGTATTGTACTTGATGCAAGGATTAAAGTCATCAATCCAATTTTCTATGTCCTCAATTGTTTTCTGAAGATAATACTGATTTTTACAAACCGAATTCTGCCATGAAAAATCATAAAGGTCACGTAACTGTTATACTAGGTTCGAGATCCGGGATATTGCAGTCTTCCAACCCATCAACTGAACTTTGGTTACTGACAGTGTTTTAATCGGGATATGAATTTATCTCTATGCAGCCCCCCATATGGTCAAATTTTGTTCTTACAGAGAAGTGCGAAGGTGATTACGGAGAGTTTAGGTACTTTCGGTGCGATCGCATTCCGGGATGGGGTACGCGTGTTACCCACTCTGTATGGTTGGGGACGCTGCAAGATATGACTGCTAACCGGGGCGTTGTTAGCTTCTATTCAGGTTGCCGATTGAGTGAGTGCTTGGAGATGTGGACACATCGGAGTGGTTGCATTAGACTAGCACCAGGTTTCTTCTCCATCCATTTTCATTCTTTTCTTCATAGTAAAACTCAAGTGGGTTATTGTCGTTCGGCGGCGAAACATCAGTGTTAAACGCTAATGCCGAGCTGTCGAACACGATGATGAAACACGTATATAAATAGCTGAAACACGTCACGTCAGTATAAGAAAGTCGCAGTGAAGCTTGGGTAGTTTTCCGTCACTTTACATGGCTATAAAAAGCTCTACAAGTAGCTTATTAGGATAGTACTGCCAAACGTTGCTTTTGGTACTGAAGCCACAAGCAACAACGGAGCACTTCCCTAGCATTCGTAGTTTTGACAAATGGAGTGCTCTAGCTACGCCGCACTTACGGTACAAGCCAGGAAAACGTTTATGCAAACATGCTGTAAATTTGCCAATTAGGGGTTTGCAGTGAGTGGTGCGTTTTTCATTTGGGTGACTGGTGAAAAATCGTCGTTCAGCTGTAGCACCCTTTCGGTGCCTGACTGCCATGCCACCCGAAGGTCGCACGAGGGCTGGGATACTGTTAGGTTGCCCAAGCCTAGACAGGGGAAGTCGAGAGGCAGAGGTCGGGTTCGAACCGACTGGTGAATTATGGAGGAACTTTGGATTAGGAGCCCGGGTTCTTATAATCGTTCAGCTGCAACGCTTTTCGGTGCCTAGCTGCGTGCCACCCTAAAGAAGCATGAAGGCTGGGAAACTCAGGTTGCCCAGGCTTAAACAGGGGAATTCGATATGCAAAGGCCGGGTTCGAACCACGGACCTCCGGTCAGTAACTTCGCGTTCTAACCACTGAGCCATCGTGCCCATGGGTTCTGATGAAAATCAAACAAACTCCGAAGATCCTGTTTTCAAAAATGGCATTGACTGATTCAACTCCATTCCGAAGAGACAGGAATCTCAAAATCAAAGTTCAGTGAAATGTGTTGTCTGGCGTTCGGTTGGTAACAGGACCCTGTGATTTTTACCCGTTCAACTGAATAGGCCCTCCAGTCAGTTGGAAAGCACTTGGGACGGGTTAAGAGATCATGGGTTCAAAGGAAAAGTTTCTAAATAAGCCGACCGATTTCCCCCAGACATTTCTGCAATGAACATGCCTTTGTTGTCAATCATCTAGAAACTGAATCCATGGCGATGGTAGGATGGCAGCAATGGGACTTCCTCACATTTTTCGTCTGCTCAGTCGGTGTGCTAAAATCAGGCGCCAATATGTTTGTCATTGCAGAATGCTGATCAGGTGGCCTGGGTAGTAATTGGTTTGCTCGCTGAGCTAGGCAGTTAGATTAAAGAGATCTCATTGTCGGCAGGGTTCTAGATAGCTCAGTGATTAAGGTGCCATCTTACGGACCGGAAGGTCCGTGGTTCGAACCCAACCTCAGCATCTCGACTGTTCCTGTCTAGGCTTGAGCAACCTGGCAGTATCTCAACCCTTCCGCCTCCCGTTGGCATGACAGTTAGGCACCAGAATGGTATCATAGCTGAACGAATCATCGTCAGCCCAGTGAAATCGAAGTCTGTCATGGATCGTTGCATCAGTGGATGTTCAGTATACTACAGGATAACGGACTATTTTTTCACCTAAGTTACTAGGCGTTCGCAATCCAGTTGCCCATTATAGCGAACAAACCGACACCTACAACTGACACTTTGTTTCCTTGGGTTTAGCTAGGCTAGTAATTAGTAGATATGTTTTTTGTCAGTTGGCCGGGACAAGGTTATGGTCCAAAGGTGCAGTCATCTTGGGGCATGGTCGATATCCCTCATACTGAGTGTCGCTTACGGAACGTTAGTTGATTGGTTTACCTTCATCCGGTAAAATCTTTAGGTTTCCTGAAACCATTTCCTTTCACAGGCTCCTACGTGCCAGGGGCTAGTTAGGGAAAGGCTATCGCCCTGTAAGTGCTGTTTTATGGAAGGCGAGACTCAGGCTCTTACAGATCTGTCCGTTGCGGATACCTAATTAACCTAATCCAAATGATACCAGAGGGCCTATTTTTTGCTACAATCATACGGCTGATGCCACGAAAGCTTTTTTGTGTTCTAACATCCAATTTGAGAGCAAGAATCACGACAGAAGTACCTTGACCAATCGGATTCTGTCCTATACCTGGACTCGACCTTTACTCGACTTTCCTCTACATTGGTGAAATCAAACCGACACTGCCGTTACAATTACCATTATATCACTCACTTCGTTTGATCACTCCAACCTGTACTTTTCCTATCTTCGCTTCTGTCACCAAAGATGCTGACTGGACCGAATTGACCAAAGATGCGCCACAGACTACACAGATTGGAAAGCGCCTGGCACTGTTGCATTTTGATTGGGATAATGCCAAAGCTGAAAATATCTACATGGTTCTGCAATCATTTCTCCCTCCCCGAGGTCACATTGAGTGTGTTACGGTAGGTTGTCCACTTTTGTTTATTTTCACTTCTCATCCAAGCCTCTATTCATTTGAATTGAATGCTGGACAGTTTTTCCTCGAAACGTCACGATCTTCATCTTGTTCCCATTAACATCCATATGCAGTCAGACGTTGGTCGTCGGGCGAGCCGCTTTGAATTTTCTCGAGCTTACTAATCTGAGCATACTTGAAACAAGAAATACGTCTTATCGCCATCCTAACAGCGTGATCGTTTAATCAGGTGATCTACCCGCCTCTCTAGATGCCTATTCCAGAAGGAATCACCTTATCTCTGTTGCGCGAACATTACCATTGATTCCATGGGAAAATCTCAAGGAGTTTTAACAATTTCGGACCTACTACCTATGGGAGCTGAAAGCAGGGAACGCAAAAACCAATCAGTATGACTGCTGACGCCAGTTTAACAACAAAATGTTCGGACTCTTCCGCAAATCACGGGCGTTGCTTGCTGAGACCACAGTAAGATGTGGTCGCATGGTATGTGTGTATTGTAGCGAGCAACGAGACGTACCGATTAGGATGGACTCGACGACGGTTCGTGTAGTGATTCTATGGCAAGTATCATACCTTAACGGGGATGTTTTCGATCGCCTGATAGATGTCCAGTTGTGCTGCTGGTAATTCAGCACTATGGAAAACGTTGGTGCTTTTCTACCTTACAAGGGGATGGATAGGTTGCAGATCTTCAGCCCAGCGATAACAAAAATATTCGCGGAACGTTGCTCAGCTGATGGGAATCAGTAAGACAGGTTTTTAGAAAGGTCGAACTATTGTTATTGGTATCGCCCGAAAATTACTGAAGCTACGAGGGTTTCCGTTGAAAACCTCCATTAAAAACCTTTTGATTAAGTTTCTGAAGGTCAGCGAAGAAGTGTAAGTAATTGCTGAGCCCCAGTTAGAGGAAAGAACCTTATAAGCATAATACACTGCTCATAGGGTTGCTGAAAATTCCTCAACAACTCACGACCGATTTCGCCCTTTTTGGGGTCATCCAGTAACGACCGATTTCGCCCTTTTTGGGGCTCATCAGGTAGATGCAGTCCCCGAGTTTCCGTCAACCTTATGTTCCACCTCAACCCAGATTGCACGAAATTAGCGAAATATCAACAAATTTGGTTTTGCGAGAGACTCATCTGGAATCCAGCTGACTCTCTTGTTTATGTTGTTTTCAAGAATCTTATAAATCGATGGTAATTGGCGTCAAAAGCAACTTAAACACCAGTACGGGGTTGTTCAGTTTTGACAGCTGGCCAAAGATAAGCTCGCTTCCTCTACGTAACTAACCAGGTGAATCAGTAAGTAGAAAGCTCGATTTTCTGTGGAATGCACTTCGGGCAGCATGATCTTCATCGAAACAGGCTTGCCAAACCGTTATGTACCACTTGAAGCGGATGCTCACTTACTAGGGCTCATTGGTTTCTTCTGTATTGTGACGGAAAAAAGCCACCTCTGCTATCCCAGTCAGTCTGCCACAGGCCGGCCTCCCTTTATATGTTTTCTGTCTGAAATACAGAAGATCGCATCAATCTGGCAAATTATCCCAACGCCCAAGGCCTAAGTTTGCGCGGAGATGCTCCTAGTTTTATTTTCAAGTAATTGTGGTTGGTTGTGTGCTACTGCGCAATTCTAGGCAGACAATGCGTGCTATCAGGCAGTCTTCTTGAGAAGAATTTTTCGGAATAGAGAAACGGGCTTATGATAAGCTGGCATTTACTGGGGATATATTATGGGGAAAAGGAGTTGGCTGTGAACACTATTTCATTGTCGTAAGCCCACTCCGTTTTTTTGTGTAGGAATACCTTATCGTTCCCAGTCGGCTACGATGACACTATTTAGTTTTAGCTGACACGTTTTCTTCGTTACCCTCTCTATAATCTCTTATCTGCAATCAACGCTGCTACCAGTAGGCGCCGAAGAACCATCGTCCGGTGATTTGAGGAGCAACTGACGGATTTCTGTGTCTGACTGTTTTTTTTTTGAAAAATATTTTTCTCATTGGATAACCTCTACTCACTTCACTTATCCTTTTAGATCTATCCTTCTGAGTTCGGCATCAAACGGATGGAGGAAGAGACTACCAAAGGTCCTCCGGAACTGGTGAATCCATCTTCCGATGATGAGGCCGAAAACCAGGACACCGGTAGTCAAAAGAACGGGGCGGAGATTTCAGATGCAGTCGAACTCGATGACAAAGCAGGTTGGCGCAGGGCCTCCACTCGGCTGAAACGTCGAATACGAAAATACCAACTGGCTCGACTTAAATACTTCTATGCCATCATAGAATTTGACAGTGCGGAAACAGCAGAGGCTGTTTATGAAGCATGTGATGGGCTTGAGTATGAGAGCTCCGGAGCACGTTTTGATTTGCGATTCGTCAGTGATGAAGAGACTTTCTCCGTAAGCATCACTCTTCCCTTTCTTTTCCAAGTACTACCCCACCGGACCCCTCATTTAGGTTTCATTGGGATATGCTCTGATTGGTTACAAGGCAACTTGTTTCGCCGTCATGATTTGTCTCGACGTTTCACGTAATCTTGCGTTTTCCAGCACCAATGCTGAAGAAAGGAATCTTGACTTACTCGTTTATGGTATTCTACAACTGAATGTGCCGCACACAGGTCACCTCATAAACGAGAGATTCAGTTGAGTATCTCGTGAAGACCAAATTGATTTGCAAATTAGTGTGTTTCTCGAAAATAGTCCAATTTTGCGAATATGCACTCATTTACAAACTAATTTGGTTTGGATTTTCAGCAGCCTTATGAGTAGTACATTACAAACATAGTCAATTTGGGTTCAAGTAGAACATAAGGTTGACGGAAACTCGGGGACTGCGCCCACCTGATGAGCCCCAAGAAGGGCGAAACCGGTCGTGGGCTGTCGAAGAGTTTTCAGCAACCTTGCGGGTAGTTTCCTTCATGAAAAGAATCTTGACTCACTTTCCCACGAGTGGATAGTCTTTATTTTTTTGCAGCATCCTAAAAACACGATCTACCAACCTCCATGGTTAGTCTTCCGGCGTTTTGTGTACGTATATGGAAGACGGTCGTCCACAGTAGACTTGTCTTANCGTATATGGAAGACGGTCGTCCACAGTAGACTTGTCTTAATCAAATGATGTTTTCTATTCGTTGGACAGTTTGACCCGCATGTATATCTCTTCAAATAGGTACCCCCAGAACACACTGCTTTGATAAGCGAATGTCGTGAAATCAACAAAGCAAAGTACAACCCTCGTCCGTTTGAAACCTCGGCACTGCACTCGACTCGGATCGGAATCGGCTGGGACAAGACACCAGACGAACGAACATGTTGGTTGAGGGACCAATTCCGCCCCGAAGCAGATCCAAAACTCACGTTGACTGAACATAAGGATGAGGTGGGTTCCTTGCCGCGCGTTGAGCAAGATTTTGTAGTGACCATAATTTACCGAATCTTTAAGCTGCTTGATTACCTCGTTTCATTCTGTGCGCATTTTTCTGCCTGGTCGCTGTTACCACTAGTTTGGAAATCCGGAAGGCATCACCCCTATAGGAACAAGAAACAGACGTTGATTTGATACGCTACTATGTGCTTCGCTAGTAGTTAGGTGTATATTCTGCGTAGACCCTTGATCACTGTACCTAAACACCAATAGGCATTACTTCCCAATAGGCATTACCAAATTATATACAGGCAATGTCGCAGAGCTCTCCGAATAACGATAGGTAGCTATGTTGAGAGTGTTCACGACCATTTTCAATGTCACCGAGCCACTCGGGCCCGTAGGATTGAACAATGAACCTCTGGATATGTACCTGTGACGTTCATAATGCTCGGATGATGCGAAAGTGCGCATAATGCAGCGGGTAAGGTTGCACGTTTTTGGACACAAAATGTGGTTTCCAAGCCCTACTAGATATGCTTCAACAAAGGTCTGATGCAACGGCAGTTGGCTAAACAAAGTCACTGTGAACACACAGGCTGCTCGTCCGACCGCTCTGATTGGAATGAATTACCCAGTACGAATATCTTTGGCTTCCGGCTCCATTACTTCAGTGCGTGCATCCATACAGCTAGAGAAACCAGCCAAGTTGTGGGGATGTTTGCAGTTGCTTTATTAACTCTCAGTAACATTAAAACGCAAGTCCACTGTAGCACACAAATTTCATCTCATTAATCAGTAAATTAATTCGCTGCCGGTGGTTACATTTATGTATGTCAGATGTATAGGGAGGGATAGACAACATCTGCTCGGCCCCATATTACATTGGTTATTTACCCGACCACCTGTTTGAGCCAACCAACTGTTAGCTAGCTTTTGCACACTGGCTAAGGGCATGGAACTGTTTTACTCTGCCTGTGTGGTTGTGTTAGTGCTCTGGTTGATTGATTAACAAATGACAAGCATTAACAAATGTCTTTTTTACCAGAATGATGATTAATACATTGGTTAGGTGAACCTTGCTAAATATAGATATAGTGCGAAAGGTGGAATAAGCCAGAAAGTGACTTATCGTTTGAGGACACTTGTTGAGAGTTCTTGAGTGAAAGTCCGGGCGTGGGACGTGTCTTCTCTGCAGTATAGCTGCATTGCGGTTAGTTACCCGTGGAGAGCTCGGTTGACTTCCTGTCTGGTGTGTGTGTGTGTGTGCTGGGCCGAGGTGTATGGCTATTTAATGTGTGCAGTATGAGACCTGCTTGAACGTGCTTGAAACTTGCACAAACATGAATACAACTTGACCTGATGTGTTGAAGTTCGTAAGCCTGGTGCGTGACGCAGGTGGTGGCCGCGTAAACAAACATGGATGGGAATTTGTAGTGTATATGTTGTAGGCTAAGATTGCAAGTGGGGCAGGAGTTGTCAGGTGGTTTCCGTGTTTGTGACGCGTGATCTAGTGAGTGACCGCTACAGTTGTTCCAGCTTTGGAACAGTCTGAAAAACATGTCAAGGTTCATAAATTTTTGTGCATATAAACCTGGAAGTTTGCCAGTGTTTGCAAGCTTGAGGGGACTTTTGCGTCCAACTTCTTTAGCAGGAAGCTATGGCTACTGTTTTCGGATTAGCTTACCACTTCCGGTTTGCTCAGAGTGCCAATGGTTTGACTACTCGACTGTAATCCAAACGGAGGGTTTTAGCTCTTAACCTAACGACCCCCTTCAGAAAGGATCTAATAGAGTTTAGCATAGGGCGTTTGTGGAGTTTCTCGTATCTCCCCAGCAGATGCGACAACGGCTCGATCGAACCAGCTCCATAAAGCCTTTTTCTGGCACACGAAGTGATCGCCAATTTGGATTTCCACCGTCGTACAACCAGTGAAATGAAGTCTTGGTGACAGCTGGTCCGATTAGTGTGAACCGGTCACGGTAAACCTCAGATTTCGGTTCTAACAGGCTTGAAGAAGACTGCAACATTCGGATAAGGTACATATTCCAAGGCCATCGAATTGGGTTCAGTTTTGTGCTGCAGCCTGGGTGGGGGTCATCCCATCTTATAGGCTCCAAGATTGACAAGGCAGTTGCGGCAACGACACTGGTATCTGCATCCCTACATCAAATGTGCCTTCTACTTCACCTGAGGGTGTCGAGTTTTCAGTTCAGTCTCTGATTATCGGGGCATGGGTTCGCCCAAGCAGATGCTGTAAAAAGGAAGGAAAACATTCAAAGTTTAGAACAGAGTAGTGAAGGTAAACATTTAGTTCCACCTGCTTGAGGAGAACCAGCAGAACGGTTGAGGAGAAAATGATCGTAATGGCTGATATGCCATTGGTATTTCGAGAGCGCGTTTGAAAAAAAAAACAAGAGAGACAAAGGTGAGTGCAAATTAAAATAACTATTCTGATGGTTAACACTCTTCTTGCTCGGCACGGGAATTCTTGCTGGTTTAATTGGTAGGTTGACATATGTTTTGCAACGCCGTTTTCGACTTCGTTCTCGTTTCTGCCAGTTGGAAAAATACCTTGCACTTTCGTCGAGTGGTGCCAGTACTGCCGCCAGTTCGGATGTCGATGAAGAACCACCCGCTCCAACAGTCCCACGAATTCATCGTCACAGGCCCAAAAAGATTCCACCAGAAGAACTCCGTGCAGCTTTGCTTGGAGCGTTTGGAACAAAGACCATGAATGCTAGTGATGAGGACAACATTCCGGAGGAAGACGTGCCTATGGAGGATGAAGAAGAGGAAGTCTTTGATTTGGGCAACGAGAAGAATCAAGCAAGCGAAGCTGGAGAATCTTCAGATGAAGAGTATCACCTTGGGCCGGTCGAGAAGAGAGCATCCAAAAATACCGTTCGATCTGGGAAAAATCGTAAAGTTCCGAAGCTAATTTTACCTGAAGCGATTGACGACATTATGGACCATTCGGACAGTGATGGATTCGAAGATGGGCAGGCCGCAGGTCGAAAGGAAGAGATCAACAAGAAGAAAAAGCGGAAAGAGAAGCAGGTGAGGCTCTTTCGAAGGTTTCCGTGTTGGATCGGTTTAACTTACTTCAAGCTAAATCCTTCGGTTGTCTCAACCGTTGTTCTTCATTTTGCTCATTTCGGAGGCTTTGTAACTTATTTCAGCAGAATTCGTCTGCCGTTGCTGCTTCCAAGATGGGATCCAACTGACCTTCCCTGTGCTTGTTTGGAGACAGTGAACGATACGGCGGCTAGGCGATATCAGTGGCTGTCAGCTCCTATCCAGATTGTCTGACTAAGTACTAGAGGCATAAGCACCCCCGCTGTTTGATGTAGACTAGCCCTAGGTTTCCCTCCCTGTCCAATTTCTTTCCTTTTCCCATTATGGGGCTTTGACAGTAAATCTCCAGTGTCCTAATCTGGTGTTGTTCTCAGTAAGAACAGTAGTAGTAATAATCATACTAACCCATATACCGTTCTCACTCTTTTTAGCGGAACAAAATGCTAGTTAAAAAGCGCCAGGTTCAGGAAAGGTTGAAGAAACAAGCTACTCTGGTAAGTGCACCTCTAATGCGGCTTATTTCGTTAAGCGAAAAATGCCTCTGTCTTATAAAAACATTATCCGTTTCCAACAGCAAAGTGCATTTGTTCTGTCATCTAGTCAAGATAAGTGGCTTCTTCTGAATGATCAGGTTGTTCCGCAGATGGGCATTCGTTGGTTAGGGGGGATCTGTGACTGACGCAACTATATCAAACATTTCTCTGTGAAAATCTCGACCTTCTAACATGGTATCAAGTTTGCAAGTTGTGTTTGATTCCTGAAGCTAACCTATCATTCTAAGAATCATTTTGGCGATTCTGACTCACTTTGGCACTGATGGCTAAAACGAAGCATTACAACCTGTGGTTGTGTAGGCTTCAAAGCTCGTAAAGACCATCTTCTGTTCAACACCTCTGTACAGATTGATGCGCCCGTCTTTACCTGATCCTTACCTGGTCACTAATTTGTTGTATACCAACCATCTTCCTTGTTTTGAGTGCTGTCTCCTCGCCACACTGTTTGCAGAAGACAGTTACCAGGCTCCCACTGGATGGACTACTATCACTGTCCGGTTTTCAGTGAACCTCTAGAAGTGTTGTCATAGATCATTGTGGACATTGCTTAGCCCCTTCCCTCAGACAGCTGCTCTACCCATAGGAGTAGTCCGAGAGGAGCAACTGGGAAACGATACATCCATTGACGGGTATTGACAGATGCCCTTTATTCTTTCCCTTGGTTGGTTGGTTCGGGCTTACTTTGCCTTCTTTATGAAACGGTGTTTTCCCCGTCAATCTTCGGCCTGAATGAGTTCGTAGGTCAAATGATCTCACCTTTATTTTATTGATTGCACACCCCCGATTCATCCATTTGTTTCTCCCGTTCTTTTTATTTTTGCGACACCAGTGGACAACTTCAGAATCCACAGAGACCAATTTTGTCGATGACAACCGATTCGATGCTTTTCTAACCGATCCTTCGTTTCAAGTAAGCCAGACTCATCCTGACTACAAAGAAGCCTCGGACTTTCTTCGCTACATGCGTCATCGGCGGACACTAGTGAATTGTTCTGCACATCGCACTTCGTCCCTAGATGCTGAACTGTGAAAATACGTATTTAATATACGACCCTAACTATGTACAGCACTTTTTGAAATCCCAAATTCAATTCCTCCGAGTGCTTTCTGTTTTGCTTATCCAACTCGGTGGGATTCTTCAAGACAACATCCTTCAGATGGTACAAAGACGGAAGACTTTTATTCCCTACATTACAATCGTGAATGGTTAACAGGACGTCCGACATTCAGTAGACTTCTCAGACCGCACAGCAATGTATGANATTTGGCATCCCGAACGCAAAACACGCCAGTGACAAGACGATATGGCTACTCAGGAATCCATTGATTCTCTCGCTCTCTGTCCGTCTTCTTACGTATTTAGTCATAGACCCACCGAATCATACTCGTGCTTTTTGAGTAGTATCAAGTAATTACATGATAAACCCGTTTTTTTCAAGACCTGATTCCCTCATTTCTAGCCTTATACATCTAGACTGCAGATTACTGAAACGAGCAGAAAGAAAAATTATAGATTCTGAGTTATTTGTATTGTCTTTCACTGGTGGATTACCGATGCGAGACGAATCTGACACCGCAGGTATCTTGATCGATTATTCAGGATCAGCTCTTTTCTCCCGAATACTGATGGAAAAAGTAGTGTTCCAGGAATAGCCATTGTCAGGTGTTAGTTTTTCCATGTGGTTGTGGACAGTCCCTGGTTCTGTTCGCCGCGAAGCGATCCTTCAACTGCACCAATGTAGAGCGCAGAGTGTTCTTCTGGAAAGCCGTACGTAGAATCCGAATGATCTCCGATATCCCTGCTTTAAATGGAATAACAGCAGTCCAAATCCATTACCTTTTGGGTTTGGCCACCGGTACCGAAATCCTTCGTAACTGCTACCTAGTCAATCACATGGATATCCACTACCCCAAAGTTTGTTCAATTTGGGTTGCTGTCCGATCAATTTCTGTGCACAAGGCCCTTACTCGGTTCAACATTAATGAGGCAGTACTAGCGATTACCGACTTTGGAGGGACAGAAGAGTAGTTCAAAATTGCCCCATTGTCGGTTTTTGGTTTTTCCTCGACCTTATGCAGTCTAAGAAGGGCAGCGTGCCCGAACTTGACTGTATCCGCTTCCTCTCGTCTTCCCTTGTCTAGGCTTAGACAACGTGACAGTATCCCAGCCCCTCGTGCAACCTTCGGGTGGCATAGTAGTTAGGCATCGAAAGGGTGCTACAGCTGAACGAATTTTTTTACGCTTTTATGTTTTCCGCTATTTTGTCTACCGTAAGCTGTCTGCCAGTAGCCCCTTACTTGGCTAATTCTAAAGAGTTGCCTTTTGGGGCGTATATATATGACAAGCTGACTTTGAAGCATACAAGAATGTCCTCTTGTTGCACGGATACACCCACTACTTTGTTGGCAAAGTCGTAGGAATTCTTAATGTCGGCAGTAGATTTTCCAGTGAAGGGTTTAAGAATACATACCAAGAATCTGACCAGCTCATGTGGTGGGGAACCTATTCGGTCTATGCACTTCGTGTGGTCCCGATCAACGTGGTAGTCACAATAACACATCTGCCCCCATAAACCGAAATCTTGGGTGTGAGGCAGGTGAGAAAACAGATACCACTTAATCATCATGCGTACAAGAGATTCTCGTCTGTTCGATTGTGATATCTTTTCGGTCCCATTCTGCCAAGGAAAGAGCGAAGACTGAGGTGTAGTTACATTTCCAAATTCAAGACGAGAACGATAAAACCGCTAGGGTTGGGTTTGGACTTGAGGTATTCTGTTTCATGCTCTCACTTCGGAGCCCAGTGTGATATTATCTCCCCCCCCCTTATGCTATTTCATTCACCGTACAGCGTGGATGTTCTACTCCACAGTCCCTATCAGACACGTCTCCCCACGGGGACAACCTTTTGTCCAACTGACGAGCTCTGTCGATAACATGCAACAGTCATGCAGTTTGCTATTACGGTGCCCCCGTTATATTATTATAATATGTATAATATTATAACGCCATTTGCCCCGTCGTTACTAGAATAGGTCGTGGATCCTCATACGCCTGTTTATTAGTGGGACGACAAGTCTTATCGCTTGTCTGAATATCCTTACCACATCGAACGGTTTACTCGGGACTGAAAAATCGATAGGCGATACATTTCGCTATCGTTTTAATCGAGGAGCACAAGGGCCCGAAAATCACTCAAGTGAATTAGATCAATAAAGGTGGATACTTTCTCATAAATTTGCTGAAAGTCATTCGGCATCTACGACTGGCTTCGCCTTTCTAAGGGCTCATGAATCGGGTGCAACCCCCGAGTTTCCGTCAACCTTATGTTCTGCTTGAACCTAAATTGAACGGAACTCGCCAACTACTCTCATTTGAACACCAATGTGGTACGGAGCTTCTTGTGCTGCTATTGAACACCAGTAGTGGACTGTAGATGGGGTATTCCAATCTAAGATAATCATCACCGGTTCCGTGCTGGACCGGTTGGATGCTGTTTCACTCAGTTCGGCATGAATTCACGTGCTGATCACAGTCACAGTTGCGTGTCTTCAATCCCACAATATTTTTTATGACTAGGTTCTCGTGGGGCTGGAGGTGTCAGGTTCTGACAATACGAGTGCGGGGGTGGAGGAAGGGAACGTGAAAAGTGATTGGCTCACTGTGAAGGTTCCCCTATCGGGCGTTATTGCCACCTGAATTAGCCGAGAATGTGACTGACCTCGCATGTGGTGCTAGTGAAAAGTAATTAGTAGGTAGGAAGTACGAAGATTCACTACCAACATTGGTTTCTCTCTTCCCATCAGGACCGAATTAGTTGATGGTTTACGTAAGAGACAACACCCAATCGATGATTGATTGCTATATTCGCATGTTTCGCTATAACTCATTTTACTATGTTTTGGTCGATGGTTGCTGCCGGTCAGTCTCGTCAAAAATCGTCATCGTCGCCCGTCGTCGGAGTCTCCGTGCTGTTATCTGTCGGGGCCGGTGGACAGTTCAGATCGTTACAGTTTGGGTCATTAGGGTTCGTCGCAGTGCACCATACCGCACAGGCAGACTGTCCACCGTCTGAAATGTAGACAAATCAGTTACCTTAGAAACGAAGTATTCTGGTCGAAAAGTGAAAAAGACATCATTCAACTTGTTTGAATATGAGTAATAGACTGAAAATGAGTTCGACAACAACTTGCGATTACCATACAATACAATGGGTTTCGTTCTGTTTAATTCGCCAGATTTCGGGACTCTAATCCACGCAGTGACGCGTTAGGGTATGGATACAGGCCATTTCGTCTAATTCACAAATTTCAATGGAGATTTTACTTTGTAGTTGAAGCCAGTCTGGGATGAAAAGCCGAGAAGCACTTTACAGCTGTTTTAAGCTTTATCGGGAATCATCAATAATGCAGTTCAGACGAAATTTCCGAGGATTTTTATGATAAATAAATCATCCAGCTGTAGCACCCTTTCGGTGCCTAGCTGCCATGTCACAAGAAGGAGGCACGAGGGCTGGGATACTGCCAAGTTGCTCAAGCCTAGACAGGGAAGTCAAGAGGTAGAGGTCAGGTTCGAACCACGGACCTTCCTGTCAGTAAATTCGTGCTCTAACCACTTGGTCCATCTCGCCCCCGGGAATTTCTAACCCGCGAACTCCCGGCTAGAAGTTCGGCCACGAATGGCTGATCAGCAGTGTGATAAAGTCGCACACAGAGGCGATATAGTGCCATTCCTCCCTCAATCACGTAACTCACATCACATGTTGACTGGCTCCTCTGCTTTGTCCCTATTGGAATGTTGCATACTATTCTGACATGTATTACCATACTGTGTATGCGTGATTAAACTGTCTGTGTCCTATTGAAAAGTCGTGGCGCAATAGACTGACATCCGCGTGCCATATCCACACTCCAACCTCTAGAACTGAATGCGCAATGGTGATGCCGGTAAGGGAGAAACAGCAGTGCAGTGCTTCTCGGCTTTTCAACATAGATCTGCTGCACTTACAGAAGGAAGCCTCACTTGTAAACTATCTATCTCCTCACACTACCAACAATATCAAGGTGGTCATGTAAGTGAACGATTATGAAAGGTTTGGGAACGGACATTCGATACGACAGGTATCAGTCGGAGTATTTAACGCCTGTCGACTCAGTTCAACGGCGGAGCCATATATCCGATTGCCATTTGTAACTTTGATCGAAGAGTCAGTCAACACGACTTTGCTGCGGGCACAAATGATAGGATCTCAGATGGAGATGTACAGTTTGGTGTCACAATAAGAAGGAGCCCAGGAACCTAGACTAGAGTGACCGGTCGATGTGTGTACTTGACCCGCGCACAAAACCCGAGGAGCACATCGAAGAGTGTACCCAATCTGGCGTTAGCGTTGCAATAGATGTCCAGTGAAAACGCCAAATAAGGCATATGATTGGAAATCGGGTCGAGACCACGTATGAGCCTAAAACCGGTGCTGGCGACCTGTGTACATTTTTTGGCAGTTCGGTGCAGCTTAACCATACCATGTTAACAAAACCTACTCGATTGGTTCCGGAAACGACTTTGGAAATAGAAAGTTTCATCGGTTATGTGCCTTTCGCGTGAACTTCACTCCCTGGTTATCAGCAAGTTTCTTGTTGCACCGAAAAACTCACTATTTTCTCCGCTTGTCCGAATTCAAATGGATCCTGCAGCGAGCAACCAATGTTACGCAAAACAAACAGAATGCAACCCCAACGATGACACACTTTTTTTTTCAGCAGGGTTTAAGTTTTTTACAGATGTACCGGGTAGTACGACTTAATAGGACGCTGGACGCTGTCTAACCCATTTTATTTGTGAATGTATTGTACCCTGGGTGGTACAGGATGTAATGCGAAATGAGAATTATATACTTGTTACGCGGAGAAAGAAGCGTTTTTTGTTTCACCCTTGCCGAAACACCTTCGATCCCAGTCTCTCCTGTTATTTTTCTTCAACTGCCAGGGCTGTAGATGACATTAAAACCCAATTCTTTGAGTGTGAATGATGAAACGTTAACTGGCCCAGATGATACAATCGATTTTGAATGATGGATCAATAAGATAACGAATCTAAA